AAGGAGCCAAGGAAATGAAGGCAGAATCAAGTTGTTGTTCATGTCATAAAGATTCAATTGGCCTTCTCAGTGACCAGGAGTGGCATTTAAGAAATGATTACTAAATAAATAACTCCAGCTGCAATTTGTCATTATGTAAAATAATAATAATAACAATAACGATCATGCTAACACTAGTAGAGGGATACTCTGTGAGTTATCTTGGATCACAGGAAAATGACACTCATGAAGCTAAATTCCATAAAAAAATGTTCGTAGGCTACTGTTGATCTTCATAACTTTTCTGTGAAATGAGAATTACATCATAAAGGAGCAGTTCATTCTAATTGCATGTTCTGATGCCTAAGTACATAACTCGTCTTGATTCTTTTTAATCCCTTTCCCCTCCCTTCTCCCCTTCCCCTCTATCTCTAGATCTCCTTCCCCGTTTTCATTATTCTTGTTAATATTATTATTGTAATACACATTTGTAACAAATGATGTTTACATTCATCGTGGGCCTTTGGTACCTGTACACAACACATCTTAAGTTTCTTTTATGCCTTCCCTGGGCCTCGGTCTCTTGGACCCCTTTCCATTTGCAGAAGATCTGTCTCCTTGTTTGTCAGAATCCAACTTTCCTCGTTCTTATGCTGACACTTCATTTGTTTCCTTGTTGTTTTAAGATTTCTTTCATCCTTTGTTATGACTTTTACTTTTATGTCACTTGATAAGCACGTCACAGAGGCTTGTCATTTAGCATTCCAGGAAGAGCTTCAGACATGGGATTAAACAAATGCTGTGCATCCAGGTCCTGACTCAGGACGATGAACATGGGCCGGATGCTCCATCTCAGCCTCAGGTCTCTCCACGAAGACTGCAGATGAGTGGCCGGCTTCAGGAAGTTCCCCCTGGAATGCAAAACGTGTAGTAATATTAATGAAAACAGAGGAGGCTCAGTGCATAAAAGGCAACATTGGAGATTAAGAGTCATCTGTTCTGTATTTTTAAAAATTTGCAATATCATCGCTTAGCATAAAGATAACCTCTCTCTCTCTTCTTTTTATTTTATTTTATTCAGGTAAAATTGACAACTAGAATTATTGTGTCTTGGAGGTATACACCGTAAGTGGAATAACCAATACAGCCATTGTTACCTCACATAGTCACCATTTCTTTTGTCTTTTCTTTCTTTCTGGTGAAAACACCTAACCTTAGCAAAATTCACACATGCAAAAGAATACTGTTAACTGTAGTCACAGTACTTTACATGAATAATTACTGACTGAGAAAATGGAGTTGGGTTCTTTCATGAAAATATAGTGTTGAGTCTATTTTCCAATGTTTCAAATGGAATGAGATTTTCAATTTTAACTTGTGAGACTTTTCATTCATTAGGTGAATGGGATAGAAAAATCTTTCACCTTTACTACTCTAATCAGAGCTGTGTTTCTCAAGCTCAGAACTAATGACCTTCCCTGTGTCTAAGGACCCTTTCCAGATACTCTGAATCCCTCCTTTTACCCAGTTAATAATTCGATCTCTCTCCAGGACTTCCAATACCCCTTTCAGACACACTGGATTTTGCAGTCATGAACACACAGTGTTGATAACTGTTGGTCTCCATACCCTACTAAGATACAGTCACACTTGTCATGCCCAGAGACTGTTGGACACTGTTAGCAAAAAGGAAGCTGGCTTTAAATTCAGATTCAGAAAAAATTAATAGCAGATATTTCCCAATGTAACTTAACAGTTAACTTCCCAAGTTACCTAAGAAAGCTGACAGGCACATTCATTGCTTCTCCAACATATCTGAAAAGCAAGCACATAAATTTCTTTTTCCTTTTTGGGAACTAATTATATTTTGTTCCATCCCTTATGAAATCCCGTAGAGTTTGAGGTGAATTTCTCATTCTTGTACTAATATCAGCTTGGATTTCCTGCAGCAAGGCAACCTCAGGGCATCGCTGCCTTGCTCCCTGTGGCATTTGGTCCTGTCCCTTGTCAGTCACTAAAGAAACACAGAGAGTTGATTCTACTAGACACAAGCGAGCCAGCGCCCCGGCTGGGGGATTCTGCAGGATGAATGGGGAGAGATGAACCTCCTCCTGCTGCTGCTTGCTTTCTGGACTGACAGAGCTTAAAACTATTCCAAGCTCTCCTTTCAAGAACAGAGCTTTCCTGGTATTTAAGTCAATAGAGAGAAAAGCAGAGCAGAGATATGGAGAAGCGTAGATGGTTGAGCAAGTGTTTTCAGACTCCTACATCCTGTCTTGGTTGGTCTATGTCCAGGTTTTGAATTATCAGAAGACCATATGGAGATGGGGACGTTAATCTAGGGATGGAGGGGGAGGAGACACGGGGGAAGGGCTGGGGAAGTAAAAAGGGATTATGATGCTGTAGAGCAGTGTACCAGCTTCCCACGGTGATGCATTTATTACATATCAAACACGTGCGCCTGCCTTGAAATCATCCGTAAATTCCACTTGCACTTGAGGCAATTTAAGGCATTGTATTCTGCTACATTCATCCAAGACAAATCTCATATACCTACTTATAAATATCCTCTTCAGAATTAAACACTTTGAGGCTCTTCGGAGTGAATTTTAAGACACTTCTATACACGTACTCAGTCATACTTACCTTTATTAGGCAACACACTGTTTCTAGATCTCCTTGTTCAGCACCCCGTGGTGCCATGGATGTTCCGAACTCCACGTAATTCCTCATGTTGCCTTCCACCTGCTCTTATTCACTGTTCTGCAATTGATAAGGATATTATTGCTTAGTTCAATGTACTCACTTGTCTATTATGTACCTAGACAAGTGTCTTGATCAAAATATTCACAGCGAAAATATGTTTGTGGGATGCAGATTCTCATATAACTTGAATTTGGGTGGGTATATTTCAAGATCGGCAAGTACATCACAGTATATATCATATTTATTAAATTCATTCACAATGGGTTTCATTAAATATGTTGACTTCCAAGATATGCTAATTATAATTCATTAAATACATTTTTGCTTATTTCCAGTTTATTCCTCCA